TGGGAACTGTTGGGTCTCTGTAATAATTTTACGGTCTAGACCTGCTCTATTTGAAAAGTATCACTTTTGTTATGAATTGGCGCTATACATGTAAAACTGAATGGAATTAAATTGAATAGACTTAGATGTAACCTAGGTGTATGAACTGTACTAAAACAATTTTTACTTTGTTTCACCGTCGCCATAGTACAGTTATTAATCTTACATAACCGCACACAAACAGCTGTGTTTAAAAAAGAAAAATTGTAGGCTATTAAAAATGTGTTTTTTTCACTTCACGCTGGAGGCAGTGCATTTTTAATGATCAAGATCAAGATCTTTACAACCTGAGGTGGTGGAAACACCACCGCTTTTGTCCACCGGGACAAATCAACAAAAAAAAGTTTCTTGCAGTAAATTGAATCTTGTAAAGCTAAACTATCGCTCTGTAGCTGAATTTACTGCAATGATCCCAGAACTGAAAATGTCTGCCTTTTCTTCTAAGATTAAAATCATCTGACAGATGGGTGAGCCTCAGGCAGCAAAGCGTCTGTCTTGTCAGTCACATATTCACCTCAATCCCAGCAGTGAAACCGAGGTAAGCGCAATTACTGGCAACATTTCTAACTGTACTAGACACTTGTGGACGTTCGCGTTGTTCACCCTCCTGGCCAGTATGTGATACTTTAAATCAAAGGCACAGGAGAGAGAATCAATTTAATACTGATGAGACCGGCTCTCTCTGGACCGAGCCCTTACTCACTGCTGCTTCATGACAAGTTTAGATTTCAGAATATCACATCTCTCAACCTGATTTTTCACTCCGATCAACCATCTTTTTTTATTCAGGAAGATTCAATGGTCCATCCTGGATTTGTAGTAATAATTTACAATCATTTATGTGAATTCCAGCAATGTGGGTCTGCGTCACTTGTGAGAACTTGCAAATTATTGACGCATTCTCGCAATATCCCGGGTGAAATAAAATCAAACCTGTTCTCAGGCAGCTGTTATTGCCAAACTGTTCATCACCAGTCCCAGCAAGTGGCTAAACCTGAGCAAACCCTTTTCACCATACCTTTCAATCTTACTTTAAAATCAATAACAGCTCCCCTCAAACAATCATTTATGGAAAGAATTTCCCTAAGCATGTCAACTTCCAGTTGAGGAATTACCACCAAGAGCTTGCATCCATATTACACAGTGAGTACCACCTTTTTCCCCACAGCCATTCAGGTTTTGAACAAAATTAAAATTTGCTTTTAGTGCAAAAAAAACAACAATAAAATGAGATTCCGGTGGGACAGGAATGTGGACACCAGATCAAACCGATGTCTGCTTGATGAACTGCATAAAAACAAAACAAAATGGAAAACCCACAAGTGCCATGATAAAATTGCCATCAGCCGACAGTACAAAAGAACAGATGTTTCAGAGAGGTTTCAGCACTACTGAGGGCTATTCAGCTGTGTCACTGTGGTCAGACCACACTGTAAAAGGTGTGAGTCATGCAGTAGAGTGGTACTAAAGTAGGAGTTTTTTCCTCCTCCCCTTCTCTCTCTCTCTCACACACACACACACACACACACACTGGTTAATGGAAGGACATTGTGAAGGTCTCTTACAAAGCAAAACAAGCCAGATTTTCTGAGCTTGGCTGTTGCTCTGTATATGACAGCAGGCTCGCTCTAATGTCATTGTGTACTTGGGAGAAACTGCAGAGGACTGAGAGATAAAGGCTTTCATTGTAATCCATTTCAAATTGTGTTTTCAAGCATGTTTAGTGTGTGTGTGTTTATGTGTGT